TTGGCCTTGGCAACAGAGGATCAGGGTTCAAAGTCCACCTCTGATGCTTACTATCAGTGTGGCTTTGGGCAAGTCACTTAACCTCCTTGGGTCTTAGTTTCCTAATCTGTGGGGTGTTGAACTAGATAGCCTTTGAGGTCATTTCTAGCTGTGGATCTATGATCCTAGTTATGGGTGACCAAGAAGGGAAAGCCAAAAGACTTTTATCCCCTCTTAGGACTTAAAGCTAGAAGTGACCCTAGAATTTAATTAGTCCAATTTCTTCATTTTATATAAAAGTCAACAGACCCAGAGTCAAGTGACTTGCTCTAAGTCACACATATGGTAAATGGCAGAGCTGGGATTCAAACCCAGGTCCTTGATGCCACAATTAATCCCCTTTCCATTGTAGCATCAGGACTTCACTGGTGTAACCCTGTCTCTCATCTTTGGTGGACTTCTTAGTGCCTAGGGTTCCCTGCTGAGTGGACTCCTAAAAGAGAGGGAATTACCCTGGGTAAGCTGTAATTGCTAAGCAGGACGCTCAGTGCCTTGGCCCCCTCAGGACCCAGGGAACTCATAGGATCTTAGTTTTAGAGCTGGGAGGGACCTTGGAAGTTTATGTTTAGCCTTTATGTTAAAGAGGAGGAAACGAGGCCCAGAGAAATAAAGTGACTTACATCAAGTCACGAAGGTTCAAATCCTGGTCAGCTGACTCCATATCAAGTGTATTGCCTCCTGTCCTGTCTTTGCTGGTGGGTCCTTGGACCTGGCCATACACGCATCAGAGAGACCTTCAAGCCCTTTGACCTTTGGGCACCTGCTTGTTTGATTCCCCCCATCTGCCTCCTGTCAAAAGGATAGGATTAGGGAGGCAGTCTGGTAGAACTGAAAGAACGTTGGTTCTGGACTCAGGATTTGAGTTCAAATCCTGCTTCTTATATGTAAATACCTGTGTCACGGTGGGCAAGTGACATCCTCCGTAAGCTTCAAGGTCTTCACCTGTAAAATAAAGGAGTTGAGCTAGCCTTAAAGTTGGAAGAGACCTTAGAAATCATTTTATAGACATGTGACATAATGACATAATGAATCGAGAGCTAAGCCTGCAGTCAGGAAGACCTGAATTCAAATCCTGCTTCAGAGCCTTACTATCTGTGTGACTTTGTGCAAGTAATTTAACTTGTTTGCCTCAGTTTCCTCATTTGTAAAATGAGCTGGAGAAGGAAATGGTAAACCATTTCAATATCTTTGTCAAGAAAACCCCAAATGGGATCACAAAGACCTCGACATGACTGAAATGACTAAACAAAAATATCATTCTCTATTGTAGATAGAGAAGGAATCTTAGATGAGAGAGTGTGTGTGTGTGTGTGTGTGTGTGTGTTTGTTCGTGTTCATTCTTTATTATCCTTTATCCTCTGTCATGCAGGGGACTGGCCAGCAGAGGGGAGCATTTCTCGAGAAATGGGAGTCCAGCCCCTGAGGTAGTCACTGGAGAACAAGGAACATGTGAATGTCAGGGAGAGATTGACGCAACGGAGAAGGGGACACCGTCATGCCCTTCTCTCCTGTCAGCGCCCTTCCGGTCCCCTCCCGTCCCCAGTCAAGAAGGGCCACCTGCCCTAGAAGTGTCAGTGGAAAGGAGTTGGGTTTCCCGATCCCGAGGAGAGCTGAGTGGGGAGTGTGCCAGCATCCTTCTGTCATCCTGACAGCCTCACTGCCCCTTCTCTAGCTATGGGGTGTTTAGCATGGCTGGCAGGGCCAGGAGGCTGTGAGGCCTCAGCCTGTCTTCACTAAGAACTATATTGTATTCCAAGATTCCAAGATTGTTACATCTGGATAGTATGAGCTTAGACTTGTTAGAGCTGGAGGCGTTGGAGGCGTCTATACGTGAACTACGTGATCTCATTTTACTTGTAACCCACGCTGTGCAAATGCTCCAGGCTTGAAACTTGGGCTACGTACAAATAGGGAAACTGAGGTCAAGGGAGAGAGTGATTTGCCTAAAGTCATCCAGGCACTAATAAGTAGAAATCAGTCAATCTGTGAACATTTCTTAAGGTCCAGAGCCCCGCCAGCAAGGACAGAGCAGAGGCAGTGTGTTAACTGTGGTGGTGGTGGTGATGGTGGTGGTGAGACACTGGATTTGGAGAGAGCATTTATTAAGCCCCTACTATGTGCCAAATGCTGGAAAACGTAGTATGAAGAAAACAGTGAAAGCCTCTGCCTTCAGGAAGCCAAGGCTTGAACCAAGGGCTCTCTGAGTCCAAAGGCAGGGCTATTTCTACTATAACATGCACTTTAGAGGTCTTACAGGCCAACTCCTTGATTTTTGCAGATGAGCAGGAGGCCCAGAGAAGTTGGACTAATTGATTTCTAAGGGCCCTTCCAGCTTTGTCCTCCGTCAAGGAGGATTGAAGTCCTTTAGCCCTCCTCTCCGTTCCCTGGACCCTCAGAACCGAGATCGTAGGGCCAGAGCTGGAAAGAACACAAAGGCATCTAGTTCAACCTCCTCATTTTACAGGTGAGGAAATGGGCCTAGGAGGGTTGTGACTTGCCCAAGGTCACACCGATACCATCCAAGGTGGGGCCAGTGATTTATTTTTTCCTGATGTGCCACAAAGTTCATTTTCCCCTATTTGTCTGTTCCTGCCAGTCTGTCCCCCATGTCCCCCCAACCAGCCCAGCCCTTGAAGGTGGGAACTGTCTCCTTGTTCCTATCAGAGTGGGTGCTTTCCCCTATTGAAGGACCATAACTTCTCTTCCCTCTGGAACTCTCCATAACATGAAGCAGAGAGCTCCGTGATACTCCTCTAGTATGGGGCTACCCTTTGTCTTCTTTTTGGAAGCAGAATGGGGACCACCATGTATGTTGGGCCAGTCACTTTCCCCCTGCAGGCCTCAGTGTTCTCATCTGTGAAACAAAGACATTGAACTAGATGGTCTCTAGCTCCAGAGCCCTTCAACCTCTGGGATGTCCAGAGCTGCCTGTTGCAGGCGTGAGGTGACTGACTGTTACTTCCCTCCCTGTCTCTGGCTCAGGGATCTCTGAAATCCAATCCTCCGCCCTCCCCCATGACCCAGCTTCCTCATAAGCCAGTGGCATTTTGAAGGCACAGGTGAGATGATTCTCACTGCCACTGCCCTTTTGGTAAATGCCAGGCAGCTGGGACTGGGTACAGGTTGAACCCATAGCCAAGCCCCTGCAGCTGTTGGCACTGAGCCTGGGGCATGGGGTAAAGGAGTCCTTGGGGATAGTGGAATGGGTTGGGGTGGGGCAGCACAGGACAAAGCTGCCCTTGCTTCAGTGATTTCCACTAAAAAGACAGGATGGCGTACTGGGAAAAGCTCTGGACGTAGTCAGGAGAAACTTGGACACAAATCCTGGTTCTTCACACACTCTAGGTGTCAAGACCTGGGCAAATCACTTTTCTTTCTAAGCCTCAGTTTCCTCATCTGTAAAATGAAGATTATATTGCTTACCTTACAGGTTTTTTTTTTTTATGAAGAAAGAGCTATATAAATATAAGTGATTTGTCCAAGGTCACACAGAGCAAGAGGCATAGCCAAAGTTTGAACCCAGATCCTGTCTCTAAATTCAGCACTCTTTCTACTGCCTCACACTACCTCCTGTGCTATTTATTAAGCACCTACTATGTTCCAGGCACTGAACCCTCAGTATCTGAAGCTACAAAAACTGTACCCCAACCCCAAAAATTCAAAACCGAAACATAGCAGCACCTGCCCTCAAGGGAACTTATATTCTTTCAGGGCTTCTTAGCTTCTACGGTATATCTAGTAGGGTAAGTAGAATCTGGAAAACCCTTCAGTATGTTGCCACATTGGTACTACCACTTCATGCATTATCTAACCCGAGGGCACCTGTATTTTCCCTTTCTTCTTGAATAGCTATGTTCCCCAGCGTCTGTCCCTGTCAGTCAGTAGATGGGCAGTTAGGGTTGTCTTCAACCTCTGACTTTGTTTCAGTTTGGATGGAAAAATATTTTAAAACCTAGGAGATGCCCATATGGTTGTCTTGCCCTTTTGTAGGGCAAAAGTAGAGTAAGCTGGATAATAGAGGCATAAGATTTAGAGCTAGAAGGGGCCTTGGAGAACCTCTAGGGCAAATCTCTCATCTTTACACATGAGGAAACTAAGCCTAAGACAATGGAAGATCACACAAAAGCAGGCAACAAAGTTAAGATTGGAAGCCAAGACCTTTCACTCCAAGACTACTGCTTTATTTTTTTTTACTCTAGGCATTCCCCCCATGCGCGTATATATATATATATACATATATATATATATATATATATGTATATATATATATGTATATATATATATGTATATATATATGTATATATATATATATTTATACATATATATATTTATACATATATATATTTATACATACACATACACACACACACATATACACATACATACATATACGTATATGTGTGTGTGTGTGTGTATATATATATATATATATATACATATATATATTATATTATTTTATTTTATTTTTTGCTTTTTGGTGAGGCAGTTGAGGTTAAGTGACTTACCCAAGGTCACACAGCTAATAAATGTAAGTGTCAAGTGTCTGAGGCCGGATACCCCCCAACTATTTTGGGTGGGGTTATCCTGAGTGTTGGTTGCCAAAACTCTAATAGGTTCAAAGATTTAGAGCTGAGAGGGACCTATTTGGTAATTTAGTTCAACTCCTTAATAAGATAGATGAGGAAAATGAAGACCAGAGAGGTGACTTGGTTAAGCTCATACATATATTAAGTATGAGGTAGAATTTGAACCCAAGTCTTCCAACTCCAAATTCGGCACTCTTCACTATCCCAAGTAGTCACTATGCCTGTGTTTCAGGTAAGGAAGGAGCAGTTTCCTTCTGAACTGTGGTGGAAAGGAGTTTTTATTGCACATATCAGCCAGAAAGTTGTGGATTTTATGACCCCTCAAGCCCCCCCCCCCCATTTTGGCCAATTAATTCTGGAGTCTGTGAAAATGTTGCTTTTCTGAATATGCAAATCCTACATCAGAGGGCAGGAAAAGAAGGGGCACTGAGGACCCTGGGGCCCTTCAGACCATCACACCCAGCTCCTGCGTGGGAGGTCATTGAGACAATTCCAGGATTTGGAGTCGGGAACCTCATTTCAAAGCTGGGGTCTGCTGCTATATGACCTTGGACAAGTGGTTTAACCTCCTGATCTGAGTTTCCTCATCTGTAAAATGTTGGACTAAATGACTTCTAAGTTTCCAAATCTAGGAACCTGCTCTATCTCCTGCCTTTCTGGTGTCCATGAGTCCAGTGAAAAATCACTTAGTCTGTACTGGTCCCTGGGGAGACTTTGGATTTATTTGGGGATTTCTTTAGATCTCAAAGCATTGTCACTATGCCCTCAAAGGTAACCTGTGCATAAGGTTATCTACCTGAACTCGTTCAGACTTTGCATCCAACCATGCAAACTTATCTCTATTCTTATCTTATCCATACCTTGTTCTTGCTCACTTTTTACAGAACTCATTTCCCCTGCTTGGAGTACCTTCCCTTCTCTAACTTTGTCCATATTCCCTTTTCCTGGCCTAGTATTCTCCTAGGGCTTTCCCAAACTCACCCCAGTCTTCACTGTCTGCCCTTAGCAATAATGTCTATAATCTGACCCAATGTCGAATAGGTAGTAGACCTTAGAGCCAGGACCCCTGATTTCATGCTCTGTCTACTACATCACATGGATGGATATCAGGCCTCTAGTAGAAGGTGTTCCCATTTCTCTTTCCCCTTCCCAAGACTGTGTGGGGGCAGTGGTCAAGTTCTGTGTTCTCCATGGCCTAGCCCTGCCAGCTGATCACCAGTCACTAATGTTTCCTTTCTGAAGGCTACATGCGTATCTTGCCAGGCGTCCGCTGTGTTATCAGAGCCAAGGGGTGGGAGTGGGAAGGGGCCCGGGGTACATACCCTTCCTATAACCACATCCCCAGAGGGGACGTGCAGGTACTCACGATGCCCTAGGGGAGTGGACGTGTCTTGCTTACTGTAGCTAGGGACGGTCTGGGTGGCACGGAGGCACTGTCCTCTGATAAGGGGCAGGAGAGGGGCACAGTGCCCAGGGTTCTGCTTTTCCACAGTATGGCTCTCTGTACCTACTGCCTGACCCACACAATTTAGAGCTTAATTACATACTATGTGCCTGATGTAGTGGAAAGAACATGAGCCTTTAGGATCAGAAGAGCTGGGCCCTGCTATTAACCTATGTGACCTTGGGCAAGTTCCATCTCTCTAGGCCTCAGTTTCCACTTGTATAAATTGAAGTGGTTAAAGTGAGTGATTTCTAACGTCCTTTCCAGCCCTGAATCCTAGATCCTCCTGGGAAGCTCGTTCCCATTATTTTGTGCATGTAAGGCTTGCCTCCTAGCAGGCTGTAATTCCTTCAAGAGAATAGCCACGTTTTGTATACCTCCTGTATTCCTTCAGGATAGTGCTATGCAGTCCTGCTCTCACAGTTTCTGGGGGGACGTAGTAAACATTTACAGTGTTAAGGGACACTTACTGAACTGGATAAAGATTCCTGTTTTCTCCCTCTTCCCCCTTTTCCCCTGCCCCTAACACTGAGCCCTAGGATCATAGTTTTGGAGCTAGGGATGAGATACTTTAGAAGGTCATCTAGTTCAACCCTTTCATTTCAGAGGTAGGAAAATTAAGTTTCCTAAAAAGGAAAATGATTTTCTTAAGGGCATCTAGCTAGTAAGTGTTAGAGGCAGGATTCAAATCTAGTTTTGACTGCAGAAGCAGTGCTCTTTACATACAGTATAACCTTTTTACATCCTGCTCTCTCTTATTTGGGTCTTATAAATGTGTCTGAATATATACAAAGACAGAAATGTAAATGGAAAGAACAACCCAGACAAAATCAAACAAACAAACAACAATAACAAATGAACTTTGTATAATTATAGAGACCGAGTTTGGTCCTGGAGTGGAGCTGAGAAAATGTACCTTCTTCGTAAAGGTGAGGGACTGTGGGTGTGGAGTGTTAGACATAGTTCATGTGTTGATTGGCTTTCTTGAACTGCTCTTTTCTTCTTTCTTTTAAATCTTTGCTACGAGGGATAGCTCACTGGGTAGGGGAGAGGGAAGGAAATGTTCTAAAATGAAGATGATGTTTGGGGCAGCTAGGTGGCGCAGTGGATAGAGCACCAGCCTTGGAATCAGGAGGACCTGAGTTCAAATGCGGCCTCAGACCAAATACTTGACACTTACTAGCTGTGTGACCCTGGGCAAGTCACTTAACCCCAATTGCCAAAAAAAAAAAGTGATGTGAGAGCAAGATGTCAATTTAAATAAGATTTAAAAAAAGATATATGGGTCTCAGTTGCCTCACCTGTAAAATAGAGAGTGAGAAAGAGGGGAGAGTTAGGCCAGTCTCAGAGACCGGCTTCCAGCTCTAACATGCTAACCTAACTCATTCTTCTAAAGGGGAATCTTCCATCTTCACCAAGAGAAAGTGTGGCATAGTCTAAAGATCACCAGATTCCAAGTCGAAGGAGATCTGAGTTCAAATCCTCTTTCTGCTTTTTAGTGCCTGTGTGTCTTGGACAAGTCACTTCCCCTTTGTAGGACCTAGTTCCCCCATCTGTCAAATGAGATAGTTGAATTAAATGATCTCTGTTTCTCTCTAGCTTTAAATCTTTTTTTTCCCTAACCTCTAGCAGGCAGTCTAATCATAGGGAGTGATTGGGGCAGTTTGAGGGGTAGTGAGGGGGAGATGTGGAGGATGATACCAGCTCTTTTCTCATCAGTTTGGGCTGTTTTCCTGAAGGAGCTGTTGATATTACTCAGGGGTCTTTCCTACTGGATGGAGGGCAGGTCAGCCATCTGGCCCTTCTCTCTCCCCTTCCAGTGAAGGGTCAATTTCCTCCTCTGCACTTGGAAAGCAAGGATTTTTTATATTTGCATTTTAGTTACATTTGTTTATTTGTATTTGTATCCCTAGCACTTAGCACAGTGCTTTGCACTTAGTCAAGGCTTACTAAATGTTTTTTTAATTCATTCATTCATTCATTCATTCATTCAAGACCACTCCTCTAGAAGGGAAAGACTGAGGCACAGATTGGTAGGGAGTGATTAGAAGTAGGAAGGGGGTATGAATATTGAGGAGCTCACAAATGAGCCTTTAGAGGAGGGTGTTTTTAAGATCATAGGTTTAGAACTGGAAGGGACCTTAAAAGTTGTTGACTCCAGCCCTCTAATTTTACAGGTGAGGAAATTGAGGCCTAGAGAGTTAGGTGATTTGCCTAGATCACACACCTACCCGGTGGATGTCTGAGGTGGGATTTGAACCCAGATCTTCCTTACTCCTAGCTAGTCTCTCCTAGGAATTCTTCTGAACAACTTGTTACCGGTAGACTTTAGGGGCAAATGTGGGGCTAGGAGTGAGGAAAATGGCTACTCATTCATTAGCCATTCTTTCCAAAGACTGTGAGAATAGAAGTGATAACATGGATATCCTTGTTTCACCCCTGAATTTTTTGGAAAAGATTCTAGTTTATCACTGTTACAAATAAAAGTAGCTCTTGGTTTTAGATATGTACTATTTATCATTTTAAGGAAAAGATATGAACAGGCAGTTCTCAAGGGAAAAAACCCGGGCTATCTATAGCCATATGAAAAAATGTTCCAAATCATTACTAATTAGAGAAATGCAAATTAAAGCAATTCTGAGCTTCTATCTCATATCCATCAGAGTGGTAAAAATGAAAAAAAAATTTAAAAAGGAAAATGATTAATGTTGGAGGGGCTGTGGGCAAATAGGCACAGTGATTGGTAGACCTATGAATGGGTGCAACTATTCTGGACAGCAATGTAGAATTATACACAAATAGTTACTAAACAGTGCGTGCCCATTGACCCAGCTAGACCACTGCTTGGACAATACTCAAAAAAGCTTTATGAAAGAGTGAATAGCCCTTTATTTTTAAAAAATATATATTTATTTATTTTTAGTTTTCAACATTTACTTCCACAAGATTTTGAGTTCCAAATTTTCACCCCATTTCGCCCCTCCCCTCACCCCAAGATGGCAGGCATTCTGAATACCCTTTCCCGAATAGCCCTTTATGTAAAAAAAAAAAAGCAACTCTTTTGTGGTGAGAAAAAACTGGAAACCATGAGGATGTCCCCACAGTTGAGTAACAGTTGAGTAAGTTTTGGTATCTGAATGTGACAGAATGCTATTGAGGATAGAGATGATTTCAAAATGACTTAGAAAGATCTATATGAAATGATATATAGCAAAGTCAGAAGGCCCAGAAGAACAATTTATACTATATCATATTATAAAAGTGAACATTTAAATGAATGAGCAGAACCAGGAGAACAGTTTATGCAATGAGAACCATTTTTGAAAGGACAACGATCATTTATGATTAGAGAGGACTGATAATGAAAGTATATAGCCATTATAGAGAGGAGAGGGGTTTGGGGTGTGGAATGAGACATATACGTTTTTATGTATTGCCATTGGGGAAATTTGTTTTGCTTGACTGTGCATATTTGTTGAAAAAATTAGGTTTTTTCCTTCATTTTTTTCAGTGAGGTGAGGGAGAGAGGTAGAATAAATAAGTTTCTGTTAATTTAAAAAATGGAGAGGTAGGGGTACTACAGGTATAAAATGTTGCATGCATTTTCATATGAGGTCACAATGTCCTTAGTTTTGCTTAACCTTTTTTACTTTGTTGAGAAGTTTTACTTTTCAAGAAGTGGGAGTAATCTGTAAATGTATGTAATATACATCTGTAATATGTAACATATGTATGCATATATGTATATAATACATAATATATCTATATTACATATGTAATATACAAATAAAACATGTCAATAAAACTAAAAGTGACCCCACAAAACACACACACAAAGATTTTAAGAATAGTCAGGTGGGGCCCTAGTTCTCACCCTCCCTCTACCACCTCTGTGTCTTTGTCTGGAATGGACACCTCCTTTAAAAACCACTCCAGGTTCTGCTTCCATGAAGTTTTTCCTGAAATCTTTCCTCCCAAGTGATTTCTTCCTCTTCACATATGGCTAAATCTCTCCCTTAATATACTTAACCTCACTCTTTCTTGTATTGTATTTTTTCTAGCTCTCTGAGAACCAGGCCTATGTTATATTTTTGTTTCCTGCTTAACATATTGCCTTGCACACAGTGAATGTTTGATCAAGGTTTGTTGAGTGAATGAATGAATGAATAAATGGATGAGTGAGTGAATTAGTGAGATTGCCTCTATCTGACCTCCAGGATCCTGCAGCCTTCCTTCCTCAGCCCTTGACTTGGGGCCATAAGGTCCCATGCCTCATCTTCTGGGAGGCAACATAGTACAGTGAAGATAGCACTGGGTCTGGATCCAGTTGGAGAACATGGGTTCAAATCCTATCTCAGCCACTTACTACCTGTTTAATTTTTTTTAAATTTATTTTTAAATTTATTTTTTTTAAGGCAGTTGGGGTTAAGTGACTTGCCCAGGGTCACACAGTTAGTGTCAAGTGTTTGATCTGAGGCCGGATTTGAACGCAGGTTCTCCTGACTTCAGGGCTGGTGCTGTATCCGCTGTGCCACCTAGCTGACCCTACCTGTTTAATTTTGGAGAAATTACTTGACTTCTCTGGGCCTTAGGTAAGACTAGATGACCTTTGACGTCCCTTCAAGCTGTAAAGCTAGGATCCTTTATGAGGAAACAGGAACTTTGCCTGGGAGACAGGGGAGGAAGCCGGTCTTATTCCATCTTTCTGGAGGAGGAGGAGGAAGAAGAGGAAAGCAGTAGTACCCTAAGTCTCTGGACTTGCTTGCCCTGTGGGCTGGCCTTCTCCATGAGGGTTGGAGACAGCTCTGAGGACTTGATTCCACCTTCCCAGCTGGTAACCTCTTTCTTGGCTCCAACCTGTGGTTCCCTGAAGATAATCACCTGTAATATGGGGGATGGCAGAACCCCTCCTCCTCCTCCTCAAAAAGGATTAACAGCCTGCTGTCTCTCCCACCCCCCACTCTACACTGCCTTTGTTGTCAGGAGTATTACATTCCACAGCTGTAAATGAGCCTGCTGCCAGGAGAGATTATTGAGGCCTTAGGGAGAAGCAGCTTGTCTTAATAAGCTGGGGTCTCCCTGGGAGCCAGCACGTAGCTCTTTCCCACCATGGCCAGTTGGCCCTCCCACCTAGCCCCACATGCTCAAGCTTCCAGGTTGGGCTAGCACTCCCAGAATCAAAGACAGTAAGCAGTGGAAGGAACCTCAGTCACCTTCCAGTCCACCCCATACCTGAAAGGAAACTGCTCTAATGCACTCTGCAAGCGGTCCCCCAGCCTCTGCCTGAAGACTTCTAATTGAGGTGGTTTGGGGAGAGATGGCTACTACCCAAGGCAGCCCCTTCCACTTTAGGACAGCTCTAATTGGGAGAGTTGTTTTTTTTTTTCTGACACCTTTGTAATCTTTACCCATGGCTCCTGGTTCTTCAGGTCCAAGTGGAGCAAGTGAAAACCCTTCAAATATTTGAAGAAAGCAGTCATCTCCCACCCTTCCCCATTCTTCTCTTCTTCACACTAAACATCCCCAGGTCCTTCACCTGGTCCTCGTAGAGCAGGAACTTGAGACCCTTCCCCACTGTTCTGATTGCCACTCTCTGGGTGCTCACCCAGTTTATCAGTGTTTTTCCTAAACTGTGTTGTCCAGGAGGGAACACAGTAATACCAATGGGTTCTGACTAGGGCAGACTTCTAGAGGGAGTCTCATTCCATACTCCTGGAAAAAATTTGTTTCTCTTAATGCAGCCCAAGATTGAATTAGATTTTTGTTTGTTTGTTTGTGTTTTTGGAGGGGCTGGGGGAAGGCTGTCATATCACATGGACAGTTCTGCTTTTTGAAGTTCAGAGAGTGCCCTTACTGGTGGTCAGGCATTTCTGGTATGGGGGTGGGCGTAGGGGCTTCTCATGAGGGTAAAGGGACAAATGTCTTTTTATTGTGGGAGAGACACTGAGGTACTAGGGAGTATAGGTAAGAAATGGAAGTGGCTTGAGCCCTTGGAGCCTCTGGCCTGTACAATCTGGTGTTCTAGGGGATGGGGATGGGACCCAACTCCTTTTCTCAACAGGTCAGTTGCAGGCCTTAGCCCTCTCTCTCTCCAGTCAGCAGGGTGAAATCTGCTTACGCTGAAGAGTCTAGCTCAAAATGGAGGAAGAGAACCCCCACTGCCTCACAAAAAAAAAAGAATATAAATGAAAACCACACTAGAAAGGTATTTGAACTCCAAAATGGAGGAAGAGGGGAGAAAAACTAAAAGATCATTACAGAAGGGACATCTGTCAATAGCATAGGTCTATTCTGTGGGTAGGGAGGGAATCTGAAATGTGGGATCTCCTGGGGTAACAGCACTGGGCTGGGGGTAGGGGCCAACTCTAGCACCCTTGATTTCTTTGTTTTTAAAATTTTTTCAGTTAACATGCTTTCATTTTCTTTCTTCTGTCCCCCAATTCCCTCAAAAAAGGGAAAGGAACCCTTGTAACTATATATAGTTAAGTAAAACAAATTCCTATGTTGACCATAACTAAAAATGTATGTCTCATTCTGCACTCTGAGTCCAGTCTCTCTCTTTCAGAAGGTGAGTAGCATGCATTGTCACAGGTCCCCTGGAGAGATGGTGGGTCATTGCCTCGATTTTCAGTCTTTGAAGGTTTGTTATCCTTACAACATTATTGCTACTGCATAAATTGTTTTCTCGGTTCTGTAGGCTGTAGAATGCAGAGTATTCTTCACTCTGTATCAGTGGGTCCAAGTCTTCCCAGGTTTCTTTGACACTCCCTCTTGTCATTTCTGAAGGCACAACAGTAATCTGTTATATTTATATACCATACTACAATCAGCTGCTCTGCAATTGACGGGCACCCCTTAGTCTCTCATTCTTTGCCACCACAAAAAGAGCTACTATAAATATTTTTGTACATGTGCAACCCCCTTGATTTCTGCCTCATCAGTTGCCTCCTCCTTCCCTCTCCTCTAAGCCTAGGATTTCCCAGGGGCTTAGCTGGCCCTCCTGACCCTCATTATGGCGCCTGCATCCCAGTGGGGTTAAGCTCTCTGTTGGCCTCCCTCCCCATGAGCCATGCCCTCTGCCCCACTCTCCAGCGGCACTTGGGGGCTCAGACTCCTGCTGTTCCCTGCCTCTCCCAGGATGGGCAGACAGGACAGGTTCCTCACTCTACCTTTCTCATCACATGTTTCTCTAGTGCACCTCTCTCTGATTAGGCTATCAGACATTGAGCATCATAGGGCTCATAGGGTTTGGAGCCAAAAAAGATCTCATAGGTGACAGGATCATAGAATTTGAACAAGCAGGTGCATTTGAGGACATCTAGTTCCTTATTTTACTGATGATGACACTGAGGCCCACAGAGGTGAGGTGACTTTTCCAAGGTCACACAGGTGGGATTTAAACCAATACTCTCTCACTCCAGAGCCAATATTCTTTTCCACTTTCTACTCAATTATCCTAGAAAATTAAGTAATTTGACTAAGACTCCCTCTCAAGGAAGTATCCCCAGCTCCCTGCATAGCACAATAAGAGTGCTGGATTTGAGGTCAGAGGACCCGGGTTCAAATTCTCCCCTCTGACACTGAGGACCTAAGGGACTTTATTCTCCTCTCTGTGTCTTGGTTTTCTCATGTGTAAAAGATGACCTCCAAGGTCTTTTCCAACTCTCAAGTCTGTGATTTCACCCAGGACTAGGCACTGCCCACTCCCCTCCTGAAACCTGAGGCAGGGCATATACTTTGAGTGGCTTAGACAGGGGCCGGGTCAGTGTCTTCTCTACTGTAATGGCAGAGAGGACGAACATTTTCTTCCTCCTTGTGGCTTTTCAAAGTAAGAGAGACTCCTTTTGGGTTGTTCTTTCCCAGAAGTAGGGAGTGGTAGTGGTGGTGGTGGTGGTGGTGGTGGTGGAATGACCACTAGTTGCCTCACTGGAGCAAATAGCAGCTTGCCCTTCCCTCAGGAGTGAGGCACTTTCCTTGTGGGGAGTGTCAGAGAGGGCTGCATCATATAGTCCTACAATATTTTTTAAAATTTTATTTTTTAAATCAACAAGCATTTGTCTTTTCTCTCTCTCACTCTCCCTCCCTCAGTACCACGCCCTCCCCCCAGAAAAACAAAGCCCTTGTAACAAATATGCACAATTAAGGAAAACAAATTTCCATGTTGGCCATATTTGATTCAACACCCCAAATCTTTAATCTAATAGGAGGCAGGTAGCATGCTTCATCATTGCTCTTTGGAATCATGGTTGATTGGGTTTATCAGAGTTCAATCAGGCAATAGTCAATATACATTTTTTAAATGGTATTTTATTTTTTCCAATTACATATAAAGATAATTTTCAACATTCATTTTATAGATTTTGAGTTCCAAGTTTTTCTCCTTCCCTCTCTTCCCTCCCTCTTCCCCAAGACAGCAAGCAGGATGATATAGGTTATACATGTGCAGTCATGGAAACATGTTTCCACTTTAATCATGTGAAAAAAGAAACAGAACAAAAGGAAAAAGCCACAAAAAAACAAAAAAAAAGTGAAAATAATATGCTTCAATCTGCATTCAGACTCCATAGTTCTTTCTCTGGGTGTAGATAGCATTTTCCATCATGAGTCTTTTGCAATTGTCTTGGAATCCTGGAATGTTAAAGCTGGAATAAGGCTTAGAGATCTAATCTGACCTTGTTGTGCAATTGAAGAAACTGAGGCCCAGGAAGTGACTTGTCCAAGGTCAAGTTCATAGACCCAGTTAATGGCAGAGCTAGGAGAAGAACACAGGTCCTTTGTCTTTCAGTTCAGCACAGTTAGCAGGACATTACAAAGGCTCCTTCCCAGAGTGACATCTAAATTGTTTAGTTAATGCCTTCTTCTTTCATTCCACTAAGAAATATACCTGGAGAGCTGGATTTGAATTCTCTTTCTGACACTATTTACCTGTGTGACCATAGGTAAGTCACTTACTCTTTCCGAGGTGAGAGTGAGAGGTAAGTTTCCTTACCTGTAAAGTGGAGATAATGTTTACTTCACAAATAGGTGGTATCAAGTGAGACTATGTATGTAAAATACATTATGTGGGGCAGCTAGGTGGCACAGTGGATAGAATGCTGGACCTGGAGTCTGGAAGACCTGAGTGCAAATCTGGCCTCAGACACAGGCTTCAGACACAAGTGACCCTAGGTGAGTCACTTCACCCTGTTTGCCTCAGTTTTCTCAGCTGTGAAATGAGCTGGAGAATGGCATACTACTCCCAACATCTTTGCCAAGAAAACCTCAAATGGGGTCATGAAGAGTTGGACACGACTGAAACAGCTGAATAACAACAATGTAAATTGCTTTGAAACTTTAAAGACTGTGCTTCTAGTGCCTGAAGATCGGCCTAGCTAAGTTTGTACACAACCATCAGGAGCTTGGCCCCAGGGTGATGAATTTAGGGCCTACAGCAGTTCTCAAAGATCATCTCTTAAGTCACAGAGTGCTTACAATCCTTGTCAGTGGCAATGCAAGGGGGTGGGTACCCATGCTGTTGAAACCACACATCTTTGAAGTGTCAAAGCATAAGGCTAACCGGATCTTTTAACCTGAAAGGGAACCCTGCTAGTTACAGGATTTGGGTGACCAAGCCCTCCCTGACTTTGTAGAGTTCAATCTAATCCACTCAGCAGCTGTCTCTCCAGACTCAAGAAGCCTCCTTTTTTTTTTTTGACTCTGATCTCATGCAGCAGCCCTGTATCTCTTTCCCCTGGTCATTCTTTGCATCTTCTCCTTCTGCTACTTCACCTTCTCCTCCCTGTCAGTCATTCTTCAATCCCAATTAACACTTGTTTTTTCCACCTCTGTATTGCTGTTAATGTATGCATATCCATCCATATCTATGCACCGTGGGCACGTGTGATTCTTACATGTATGCCTCTCTACATATATTCTCTAGGAGCGTCCCCTCTTCCCACTGATGGCTTGTGTATTTGTAGGAGAGTGTGTCCTAGATTTATAGAGGAAATATTCTGTTGCTACAGTCTGACTATGATATCTTCTTAAATGTCTTTGCTTTAACTAATTTTGTTCCTTGAATGACTAGTAAAAGCAAACATTTTGGTGAGTTCTTGTGAATTGTTTTTTTTTTTTGAGAATAGAGATCCACAGAGTATCAGGAGGAGACCCACATATGAGTTCTTGGTCCTAGGTTTAACATGTAATATTGAATATTAAAGCAATCTGCATTTGTATTTTCTTCCTCTTCGTTTAGTTAAACCCCTGCTTCATGCATGAATCTCCTATATGATATCCCAGACAGGTGCATGGACACTTCTAGTGATGGGAAACTCACTGCCTCACAAAGTAGCCGTTCTCTACCTGGAAAGACTTATATGGTCTGATGCTGAGTGAAGTGAGCAGAACCAAGAGGACTTTGTACACAATAACAGCCATGTTATGCAATGACTAAGATTGTTAAACTGAACCCTTCTCAGCATTACGAGGATCTAAGACATCTCCAGAGGCCTTGGGATGGAAAAGGCTGTCCACATCCAAAGAAAGAACTATGGAATTCGAATCGCTATCACTTATTTTTACCTTCTGTTGAGTTTTGTTTCATCTTTCTGATGGTTCCTCGTATTGGTTTTAATTTTTACTTATGACTTCACTAATGTGAAAATATGTTTAATGGGTGTGTAAATGTAAAGCCTATATCAGATTGTGCGCCGTCTTGGGGAGGGTGGGGGAGGAAAAGGGAGAAAAATTTTCAACTCAAAAGCATATGGAAAAAATAAAAAAATTTAAATAAAAAAAAGTAGCCATTCTCTTTTAAGACAGTTGTATTTGTTAGGACTGGACCCATACATGGAAAGAATGCTGAATGTGGCATCACCGGATCTGAGGTCAGATCCCAGCTCTTCAAGTGTGACCTTGGACAAGTCATTGACTCTCTCTAGGCCTCTGTTTCCCCATCTGTGAAATGAGAGTGTGGTTCTAGATGACCTCTGAGGACTTCTCTGGCTTCTCTCTGATCCCCCCTGTGTTCCCAACTCAGCCTAATGAAATGCTATTCTTTAAGGCTAGTTCAAGTGCTAGCTCCTCTATGAAGCCTTTATTGATTACTGCTCCCTCCCCTCCTCTCTCTCCCTTCCATCCCAGTTAAGAAAAATTCTGTCCTGGGATGTTTAGCATGTATTTTACATTTTTTTTTTTTGTATTATGGTTATATCTCTATATGTGGTATTCTACTGAACTATAAGATACGTGAGGGCAGGGATCATTCTTTGACTAAACTTTGTATGTACCCAGTACCTAGTGCAGTGTTTTGTGTAGATTAAGCAGCTAAATGTTTGTTGAAGTTTAAGTTTAAAAGAATCAAAATCTGATTTCCTGTTAACATGGCCTTGGAAAACTCAGATTTAGGAATGTCCACCAGATGTCGCCCTTAGCCTAAGCTTGGGGCTGGAAAGAGGAAAGGGGAGAAAAGGGGAAGTAGGGGGTGAGTTCCGTCCAGTAACTATGTGAGGAGGACCAAAAGATCAGAATGTATGGATTTTCATAACATATGTCCAGAACTGTCAATCAGGAATCGCAGGACCTCAAAGCTACAGAAGGCATCAATTGTGGCCATTGTAGACAAGGCGGGGGTGACTGGCCCAAGGTCACCCAGCAGTTCATGGCAGAGCCAGGTCTCTTTGCTTCCCAGACCAGTGCTCTTCTTCCTCATCTTGCATCTTGCTTTTAGAATTCAAGTTTGGTTTTGAAATCAATTTAATTCAACTTAAAAGGTTATAGTGCACCTGCTATGTGCTAGGGGCCATGGGAAAAATATAAAGATGTATCCAAGGCTGTTCTGAGTTTAAACAGTTTACAATCTAGATGGCAAGGTAAGACATGAAAGGATAACTACAAATAGGAGATAATCTGTGCTCTGTGCCCAATAAGTGGTACCTACAGTAACTGAGCTTGGAGGGGAGAAGGTTACTCGAGATACCTGTAGGCTGATCTAATCCAGATGGGCTTCCTGGAGGAGGAATTGTTATTAAACAGAAAGGAAATGCCAGTTATTAGCATATGTTGTGTGGTGGCACTTTAGCTTGTAAAGTAGCATATTCAATCTTGCCTTCCCTTCTCCTCACCCAGCTTCCCCAGATCCTGAATTGGGTTTATTTATATTTTGAATTTGCTTATCTGTGTATAATTTCTCCCAATAGAATATAAGCTCCTTGGGGGCAGGGACTATTTACATTTTTCCTCAGTATCCTCAGCCCCAGGCTGATCTCCAGTACTAATAACTGCTTATTGAATTGAGTTGAATTGACAGGAGGAAGAATATGGAATCTCCTTTCTGTAGTTCTCTTAGGAGAGATTCCCCTTCACCCCTTGCCCCCCCACAGGGTTGGAGCAGAAGGATGACCCCCAAAGGTCTCTGGAAGCCCCAGTGAACTTCTGGAGTACACCTGGGAGAAGCATGACACTGTGTGGGCGAATGGGATATTGTGTCCCTATATTTGTTTGCACTCTTGTGGCTTTTTGTTGTGGGTAGTCTGTGGGTCTTTGTGTGTCCCTGTATTGGAGGTAGCAGAGAGCTACAAAGGTGAGAGAAAAAGGTCAGTAGAACATATTCCTGCCCTCTTTGGGCTTATGCTCTAGGATAGTTTCCATGTGTCTCTTTGCCTTGTTCACTGTTTATCTCTGTGTCTGTCACTGTGCCCATAACTGAGTGTATTGTGTTCACTCAGGGGCTCTGGGCTGTGGGAGTAGGGGCACAACTAGTGTTGTACAGAAGTACGTGAGGCTGGTCACGGAGTCACCACCTTAGCCTCACCCATCAATTTCCCTCATGCCAGGAGCTCTGAGCTGCCAGGGCCACCGCCTCCTCCTCCCCCTCCCTGGGCACTGCCAGGCCAGGGGGCAAATGACTTAGCTGACAGAGGAGCACCTCCCCTCATCCTGACCCAACCAGGCAAAGACAGGTGTCATCTCTGAACTCCCAGAGAGCAGGAGTCTTCTAAGAGGCCCCTCCCTCTTTCCTTGCTCCTCCGTTCCTTCCTGTCTCTCTCATCTACAAGCCTTCCATCCAGGGCTGGGGATGGGGCTTTTTACTGCCCTTACTTTGATAGGTGAGAGTCTGGTTATGGCAAAAAGAGTGAGAATAAGAGTATTCAGGTATAGCAGAAAGAACACTGAGCTGAGAGTTGGGAGACTTCAGCTCCAGTCCTAAATCTGCCCCTAAGCCAGAGGGAGACCTTGGACAAGTCACCTACCTGTTTCATTTGTAGGAGGGGGTTGGGTTAAATGAGGAGCTTATAACCTTTTTGTGTCATGGGCCCCTTTGGCAGGCAAGCCAAATGGACCCTTTCTCAGAGTGTTTCTAAGTGCGTTAAATATATCACTAGAACTACAAAGCAAACCAATTATTTTAAAATACAGTTATTGGAATAGGAAAAAGAATAAGCTCATGGACCCCATGTTTAAGAAGGCCTGAACTGGATGAACATCCTGGTCCCTTCCAGATCTGACCTTGTAGGGTTCTGTGAGGATTTAGTTCGAGGCTAAGGGACAGGTCTTTGGAACTGACCTTCAGTACCCCTTCTCCCTCAACTACCCCGAGCAGCGCCCCCCCCCAAGCTGGACAATAGGGTTCTACTCCCTGTATGTGGGTAGGTTACGAGGACACTTGAGGCTGAAGCTACTTGACGCTAAGAAAAAGGAGAGTCTGGGGGACAGGCAGAGGAAAGGGAATGGGGAGGGGGGGCTGAAGGGACATTTGGGGGGAAAAGACTGTAGGACTCTGGGGAAGAGACGAGGAGGGAGGGGCAGAGAGCCGGGGGAGACTCTGGGGAAGGAGGAGGGGCTTGTGAGGGGGTTGGGGCAGATAGGATTCCTATGCCTTGGGGCAGAAAATGATTCCCATGCAGATGAGATGCAGACATCCTAATGGGTTTGTAATGAGCTGCTGAGCCTCAGTGACCAACCGGATGCCAGGGCTAGGGGGCAGTGCCCGCCTGGTTTTATGAATGAGCCGGAGAAGAGGAGGAGGAGGGGAGGGTGGGGGGGTGTGCCGGGGCCAGCCCCGCCTTCTCCCGCATATTAGCATAAGCCGCGCCCCAGTTTACATGCCGAGCCGCACGTTGTCTTCGCCTCCCAGGCCCTGGCGCTGGGCCAGCGAGTCAGCTGCTCAAGAGACGGAGACGGAGCTGGGGGTGGGGGGAGGGGAAGAGGGGGAGACCAGAGTCCTCCGCCACGCTGCCGCTGCGGTCAGTGGGGCAATGACAGGACGCGGCCGGCCGGCGTTCGGAGCCCGAGGGGCAAGCACCCCTTTCCTTGCCACCCCAACACCGCCCCTCTCCCCCACCACCGTAGCAGCACGTTTCTTAGGGCTTACTAAACATCGAAGTAGCAGCAGCAAGAGGGAGTGAGGTTAGGGGACTGGGGGACATCGGGGAGGGCACCGAGGAAGGACCACAGGGAGGTCGGGTTCCACCCACCGGGGATGAACAGGATTTGAGGACCATATAAGCACAAGAATCCCGGAAAGGATGTGACCAGAGAATGTACCTCTTTCCTTGGGGCTAGTCCCTGGGCCTCAGTTTCTTCCCCTGTAAAAGGATTGGATGATCTCCAAGGTCCCTTCCAGCTATAAAGCCTTCAATCCTCCAAATCCTTGGGCCTGGAATCAGAAAGACTGAGTTCAAATATGGCCTCAGACACTAGCTGTGTCACCCGTGGGCAAGACACTTAACCTCTGCTGCCTTGGTTTACACAACTGTAAAATGAGGATAATAACAGCACCTACCTCAGGGTTGTTGTGAGGATCAAACGAGATAATATTTATAAAGCGCCTGGCTTTACCTAGTAGGCACTTAATAAATGCTGAGTCTTTCCTTCTTCCTCTCCTCTCCTCCTCCCTTTCCTCCTTTTCTTTTCCTCCCTTCCTTTTCCTCCCTTCCTCTCTCCCTTCTTTTCTCCCTCTCAGTGGCTTTTCATCCTTCTCTTCCATCCCCTAGGCCCCAGTATTTCCTATCCCCCACCCCCTTACTGCACAGTCCTTTTCTCCCGGAATATCGTATTGTGTCAGGTTAGACTGACACATTCTGGGAAAACTCCAGGTCTGGCTGGGTGCATGTGTCTTACCTGCAGCTGGTAGCTTCAGTATTTTACTGTTTCTCCTTTTGGATCTGGAGGAGAGGGACTCCTGGCACCTGATGTTTGCCTTTGTCTATGTGTGTGTTCTCTCTTAGGATGTCTCAGAGGCCCCAGTTGGGCCCTCATCCCAGTATCCCCCAGTCCTTTTCAGAGTCAATTAACCAATTAACTCCAATTAACCATCTCTCTGGCTCTGCTCACTATGGGGCCACTCTAGGTCCCTGTGCTTCTCCTTCTGCCCTTCATATTCTTGATCCCTGAAGAAGTGCTTTGCAAAAAGATAGATATACTTTTG